TTTTCAATAACCGAGCCTCTGGGTATGTTGTTCTGCATTACTGCTAATATGTTTATAAGCAGCAATAACATCACCTGTGCTTATCAAGTAGCACCGCCTGCATCAACATGCACACAGGTACTTGGCCGGTATCAAAGCCATCAGCGCTAGCCACCTCAGCATCATCACAGGCATTCTTCTCGGCACTATGACCAGCAAGAGCATTCATGTCTTTGCCAACGCCATAATCGGCACCATCGTCTTCACACGGTCAACTTCACCACTTCAGCCACTATAATGCACATATTGCGATTATTGCCTTGCGCCACGGTGATAATAATTGTTAATGATGATATCAATAGTTACTGTCTCACCATTATGATGATGCTTGTGAACATGGCTATGGCTCTGAATGCTAGTAGTATTTTAGGTCACTGTCATCACCATCAGCATGTTTACATTCACCTCGACGGATCAAGTCAACGGCATCGCCAGCGCCGTCGTCACCAGCATCAGCAACATAATCGTCCGAATCGCCCTTAGTCGTCGTCACCATACCCATTGTCACGGAGGCCTCACCTTCCACCCCATGCAAGTTTGAATGAAGGGCTGGGTTGTACCGATGTTCAAGCCCCCCAAGGTCCAGCCCATCCTCCAAACCTTGGAGCCCCGAAGCCATTTGGGGGATTCCGAAAATAGGGGACCCTAATATAGTACCCTAAATAATAGGATCCCTCTAATAAGGACCCCAAAATAAGGTACCCTAATTTTCTGAAACTCCCATTTGAGGCAAGCCGTCCGCGACTCCTTCCCGCACTCTGCGCAATCCGACTTGCGACTGCTGGATGCAGGCTGCTCGGTGAGAGGGTTTAGGGTTTAGGGTTTAGGGTTTAGTGCAGTTTGGCAAGGTCGGCGTGTTTGTTTCGATACGGTGTGCGGGTGAGGTCTTTCCGCGAAGCCCCGAATCCTAGCCTAAGTGCCTTACAGGGACTGCCAGTTCGATCCCACACCCCAGCCTAAACCCTAAACACAAAAAGGCGACACCCTAAAACCCTAAAACTATTGGGTTTAGGGGTCTAGGGTTTAGGGTTTAGTGCAGATGTTGGGTCAAGGCTCCGCTTCAGGACCGACAAGCATGAACAGATAAAAAACCTTGCCTTACGCGAACATGAGACTACCCCAAAAGGCCGATCCAGTCTTTTGTACAATGCTTAGGGTTTAGGGGTTTAGGGTTTAGTTTAGGGTTTAGGGTTTAGGGCTTAGGGTTTAGGGCTTAGGGTTTAGGGCTTAGGGTTTAGGGTTTAGGGCTTAGGGTTTAGGGCTTAGGGAGGCTTTGCATCCTCCATGCAGCGCGTCAAGGCTCGAGGCGAGTGAAATCCTGATACACGAAACCCCACCCTAGGGCTCCAGTTACCTAAATAGTAGGTTACTGGGGTACAATATATAGTTAGTAACCTACTATTTAGGTAACTGGAGCCCTTGGGCCAGGCTAGAACAACAAACAAGCTCGATTCAGCTATAGAAATCTTCAAAAAATTGGAAACGCAGCAAAAGGTAGCATGCAGCAACGCGCCAATCGAGGCGCCAGCGTGCGCAAAGCTCCTTTGCAATACTAGCTTGCTCATCCCACTATCCCCGCGCCATCTGTTGGAGCCATGCCGGAAATTCATCCCAAGCCAACTCATTCTCGCGGAAAGGCTCCGGGAAGCCCCTTCGAGTGACAACCACCTCCCTGCCATCGCTCTCCTTCACGGTGAACGAAGCTCCGATAGACCCTGGCAGATCCTGCCGTGGTCCCTGGCCATCCACAGGAACCTTGTCCTTGAGGGCAAATGGCCCCTAATCTACTAATCCCTACTAGTAATTAGCATCTAGCAATGACGCTGGTAGTCGCCAATGAGCCAACCACTGGTGCTCCTTTGTTTATAGTCATCCGGAAGCGATACTAAAAGCATAGATGCGTATCGACATGTACTACGGCAACTGCTCCGCATCATCGTCACCACCATCGTCGTCATCACTGTCTCCTTCTCATCATCATCAGCATCATCACCATGATCATCCTCCCCCTTGTCGTCGTCAGCATCGTCATCATCATCATCATCATCAACAATAATCGCAGTCATTGCCATGAAACATCGCGTCCAAATCAGCGACAGACAAGTACCTTCTCTAAAGCAACCATTCTGGTTTCTTGTCCTGGAGCCAGCGGAGCAAGGATTCGTTGACGGCGGCGGGCGTCTCGTAGTGGGGGCAATGCCCACTCGGGGACAGTTGCACATAGTCCGCATCTGGCGCCGTCGTGTAGGCACGTGCTGCCCAATATGGGATTATCCAGGGATCCTCCCGTCCATATAGGAGGAACACAGGGATGTTGCACTTAACCACCTCGTCCAGTGCTTCCTCAAAGGTCAAGTCAGCCTGTGGCGTAAACAAGATCTGGGCGAATGCCGCAGCACCTGCGGGGTGGTCGGCCATGGTGGCAATACGCTCGGCCAGCTCATGGCCGACTCCAGCAGGGTTCGAAGTGACGAAATTCAGGAGCCATTCAATGGAATCAGGATTTCTGAGGGTGTTGTACCATGCAAGGGTAAGGGGTCGCACAGACTCGGGCACGGGGAACTGGCCCTTCCATGGAAAGGCATCGTGCAGGTCCGGATTCTTGGAGCGGTTGGGGATCCAACCCCAGAATGGCGTGGCATTCAGCAGGAAGACGCCCTTGATCCGGCCGATGAGTCTGGTGTTCATAGTTGCCGTGGCCAGGACCGTAAGGTATCCTCCCAGCGAGTTTCCCCCAATGATAACGTTACTTTCCTCCACACACTCGGCGATGAAATCTTTCACCTGCTCCACCCACAAGGCCTCCCCAATGACCGTATCCTCAAAAGGAGGGCACGGCTTTCCGAAACCCCACTCCGTCCCTGGGCTTCGGATCTCCTGTGGGGTGCCCGGAGCGGGATCGCAGTCTGGCCAGGACAAGCCGGCCCCTACGTTGTCGGCCGCATACACAGTATACCCTGCCTCACTTAGAGGACCAAACTGTGCCTCGTAGTGGAATGAGGCAACACCAAAGCCATGCAACAAGACGACAGCAGTGTCAGTTCCAGGTATCTTGGAAGCAGCCTTCGCGTAGTGGACTGTAATGCTCTCCTTCCAGTGCCACTTCTTGCTGGTGGCTGTTTTGGGCTGCATGAGCTCTTCCCTGCGTGCGGTGCGCTCAGCAGTTACAGTTCGCCTCACTCGAAAGTTGACAGACTGTCTGCCTTTCCGACCTGTCCAGCAGGATGCCACTGCCGAGCACAGCACTGCACTGAGTCGTGCTGCCTGAGGTTCTCGGTGGTTTGCTGGGCTGCTGGAGGATCGAGCTGGATGCCACACCAGCCCAGGCCCAGGACTTGTGTGCAAGGAGTTGGCCAAAGTGTTTGACACTGCACTGCCAAGGCAAGCCATGGCAGGGTGTTCCTAGCAGTAGCTCTCAGTGTGCTCTGTTGATTAGTTCGATCTGATTGCATGAGAACCCCTCTGGACGGATCGCCCCTTCATGCCGCTGAGAAGCTCGGTTCTTGCTGCTCCACTTAGCAACCTAGACCTAAAGAGGAGTTGCAACAAGTGGAACGTGAGCTTGACGACTGTGGCGATTGCTCTCGGACTAGCTGCCCCCCCTTAAAGCCTTAAAGACAGGGGCTCAACCGTCAGTATGGTAAGCACTTCAACCCATGCACTTGCAAACCAAGCTTCGCACGACGACTTCGATTCAAGCCGTGCAAGAAGCCTCTTTGCCCGCGCTCCCACACGTCGCCAACCCCAACCCAATTTGAGAAGTACTTCGCCTTCTAGTCCGGGCTGGTAAAGGTCTTCACCTCCGAGGCACCAGCACACACCCGTTGCATTCCAACCTTTTCTCCACCGCCTTGAATCTTAGAACTTGGAACTTACGTTTGGGATTTACTTCCATGCCGAGAAATTGAAGAAGACACACAGTCAGCCCGTGCCTGGCCGCGACTAGGATTCTGCGGAACCTTCGCCGCAGTTTTTGATGACTACCTGCAGCGACAGGACTAGTAGCAGTACGTTTGTTGCGCTTAGGATACGCGAGTCAGGCATTCTGCGCCCGCGCAATGATGTTGATGATGATGATGATGATGATGATTCCTTGCGTGTTCTACAGTTTCTGCTGCTTAGAGTGTCAGTTTTCCCTCCGACTGTTCCCTGCTCGCCCAACGGTTTAAGAGACAGGTGGTTGGAAGGCGGGCGAGGGGGGTGGCTAGCAGTAGTAGCAGTCGTCGTCGTCGTCGTAGTAGTAGTAGTAGTAGCAGGAGTCGTCGTCGGAGTAGTCGTAGTAGTAGAAGTAGTAGTAGGAAGCAGCAGCAGCGGCATGCTCCTCAAAGAAAAAGCCAAGTCACACGCAGCGATGGAGCTCCACTCTCACTGCCGACCGTCTCTATGGCCTGTGCAGGTAGGCCCAGACCGCGAGCATACTGCTCTACATGGGGATTTCCAAAAATAGGGGACCCCAAGATAGTACCCTAAACAATAGGATCCTTATCATAAGGACCCCAAAATAAGGTACCCCTAATTTTCGGAAACTCCCACATGACCTTTTATGTATGCGTGCAGCTACACACCGAGAGAGGCGTCCTTGTTCGATCTTCGAGGTCCTTTACGGTAAGGGACCTCGTCCTAGCGGAATTCCTAGACTTAGACTGGTAAGACGTGCTATGCAGTTAGTTGGCACACCTTGCCTTTACCACAGAGTAGCCCTTGATCACCTGGCCGAAGACCACGTGGGCACCATCCAGGTGGCTCGTAGTGACCGTGCAAAGGAA